GTGTGTGTGTGTGTGTGTGTGTGTGTGTGTGATTTTGTTTTACAAGGACTGACTCCTTTCAGTATTTCCTGTAGTGCAAGATTTGTAGTGGAGAATTCCCTCAATCTTTGTATGTCTGAAAATGTCTTAATTTCTCCTTCATATCTAAAGGAGGGCTTAGCTGGATACATTTTTCTAGATTGAGAGTTCCTTTCACTTAATAGTTTAAATATTTCATTCCATTCTTTTCTGGCTTGTAAGATTTGTGCTGAGAAGTCCGATGATAATCTAATGGGTTTAACTTTATATGTTATCCTTTTCTTTTCCTTGGGCGCCTTGAGAATTCTATATTTGTCATTGATTTTTAATAACTTTAATACAATGTGTCTTGGTGAAGGCCTTTTTCGGTTGAGATAATTGGATATTCTGTTGATTTTTTGAATTCCAAGCTCCAGCTCATTCCTTAGATTGGGGAAATTCTCATCCACTATTTGTCTGAAAATGCTTTCTAGTTCCTGCTCCTTTTCCTCGCCTTCGATAACGCCCATTATTCCTATATTTCCTCTCCTGATGGTATCAGCTAGTTCTTGAATTTCTCTTTCATTATTTTTCATTCTTCGGTTTCTTTCTTCTTTCTTCTGATTTATTTCTAGATTTTTTCTTCGGTATCACTGATCCTTTCCTCCATTTGGTCACCTCTATTTCCCAAACTTGTTATTTCATTTTTCACCTTTTTTAGTGTGTTCTTCATCTCCAGAAGTTCTATTTGGTTCTTTTTGAGGGTTTCGATCTCTTTGCTCTGCTCTTCTAGTTGTTTTTTAAATTCCTGAAATTGTCGATATGATTTGTTTTTGACCTAACTGAGTTTTTTTGGAAGTATCATCCTAAATTCTCTGTCATTTAAGTCACATGTTTCTATGTCTGTAAGCTTATTTTCTGGAGATTTTTCTTTCTTTCTGAAATGCCTTGTCACTTTCGTTGTTCGTGGTGTTTAATGGACGATTTCTCCACCTGGGCATTAATAGAAGTATATTCTGCTTTTTTTCCAGAAAGAAGATTTATTATATAAAGGTCTGATTTGTAGTCTGTTACAAAGAAGACGTTTTTCTTTTGGTTTCCAGTAGATGGTGTCTAAGCCTCTTGTATCCCTGCTTTATATAAAACCTAAAAAATGCCTTTTTTATTTTCTTGTAGATCTCTAATAATGCTCGTTACCCTCAGCTTCAGTCCATCAGTGTTAGCAACAGTTTTTGTAGCATTTGCTCAGATTCCCCGGGGCTCTGAGGTGATTGGTCTTGGAGGGTATAGGGGGAGAGGTCCTCTGAGTTGGAGGTCAGGGGCTACTGCTCAGCCTTGGTTTTGCAACCGCGGCTGGTAAAAAATCAACTGTCGTTTCTCTGCCGTCCCCACTTTTTGCCGTCTCCGCTTCTCTGCCTTCTGCCCTGATGACTGGGCCCTGCCACTGGCTGCGTGGAACTCACAAACTCTCCCAGGCAGGGCTATTCAGAGGAGTCACTTCACCTTCTCTCTTCTCTCTCCTCCTACAGAGAGCTCCTGCGACTGTAAGAGGCAGCTACTATATTTCTCCCAGTTTACCGCCTAACACCTGGAGTTCTGACCTGTGGTAGCTCATGCGCAGATCCCATGCTCACACATGCTGGTGTGCAGTTTGGGTGTTTTTTGTTGAGTTTTAGATATTCGGCTTATTGTTATTTCAAGTGGAGAGATCTGGGGACATCTCTCACTCCGCCATGTTTTCAAGATATCTGGCATGAATTTTTAAAGAGTAAAAAGATCTATAAAAAATTTTTTTGTTTGTTGCTTTAGTTTAACAACTGCATTCTTTAAAAAATATCACTTATTTTTCATTAGAATAATGAAAAATTGGATTACTTATTTCCTACACTTAGTGTGTGAGCCATAGAGAGAAGGAGATGTAAGAAAACTAAAGAAGTTATGAGAAAACTAAAATGGGAAGAACTTTGGAATGGTGAGAAGAGTAAAGTTTCCTTCTTAAACTCCCTTAGTTATGAATCTCTGACGCGAAAGTCAAAAGAATGAACTTATGTCGATGTTCTGCCACAACCCAGTGTGTGATGATGTGAAAAATCACAGACTGCACAAGACTTTAGAAATCATTTACTCCAACTTTTCTGGAGATGAGCTAAGGCACAGAGGGGATCAATGAAGGCTACGTATACATGCCAGGATAGAAAACCATTCCCCTCATCTGATCTTGGCTTTTTTCCCTAAAATATCACTCTCTCTTAAAATGATACATGATTTCTCTATGTATCTGTTTCCTCATTTGAAGAAGGAGTAGGTTAGTAATGAACTTCTTTAAGATTCACAATAGTTTTAGTATTCTCAGTATTTGATCACTTTGTGCCACCAAAAGTACAGTAGGCCATTTTAACAGTATATACAGTTAAAATTACAGAAACCTATAATAAAAGGAAAACAGATCGAGAGGGAATGCATAGTCAAGAGTCAGGATATCCTTTATTTCTAATGGATTTTAGTTCTTTTTGGCATATCCAACGATTTTCTCCATCACAGTATTCAGAAATAACTTTTGTCGAGGAGAGATAAGCGCAGCTGTTTTCTTTATTATCACCAACAATTTCTAATCTGCGAGGTAAAAGAAAAGACTCCCTTAGTGTTTAGAATTTTCTCACATAATTTTCCTTCTCCAGTTAATATTTTCTACAACTTTCAGGAAATAATAGAATACGAAATTATTAAACAGTAAGTTTACAGTCACAAATATAATGATAGAAACATTTAATGGAGAGCTAATATAAACCTCGGGAGTCTGCAAATTTATCTTCACTGAAAAACAAAACAATCCTAACAACAACTTCATAATGATTTTTTTTTTTTTTTTAAAGAGAGAAACTTTGGAAGCTGGGAACCGATTCTCCTTATTCTACTACTAACATGTCATATGAAAAGTATCTTAACTTTATTGAGCCTCGATTTTCTTAAATATGCAGGATACCACCACCTAATATTTGGGGGAGGCATTGAGAACATGTGACATGCTTAAACAAAACACAAGCATACCTTGGAGGTATAGCTGGTTTGGTTCTGGACTATCATACAAATATCACAATAAAGTGAGTCACAAATATCACAATAAAGTGAGTCACACAAATTGTTTGGTTTTCCAGTGCACATAAGAGTTATGTTTACACTATATTGCAGTCTACTAAATGTGCAAAAGCATTATGTCTAAAAATATGTACTTCCCTTAATTAAAAAAAATCTTTATTGCTAAAAAATGCTAACCATCACCTGAGTCTTCAGTAGTTGTAATCTTTTTGCTCATGGAGGGTCTTGTTTCATTGTTCATGGCTGCCGACTGATCAGGGTAGTGGTTGCTGAAGGCTGGGGTAGCTGTGGCAATTTCTTAAAATAGTGAAGTTTGCCATATTGATTGACTCTTTCAAAAAATGGTGTCTCTGTAGCATACAATGCTGTTTGATAGCATTTTACCACAGTAGAACTTTTTTCAAAATTGGAGTCAATCTTCTCAAACTGTGCTTCTACTTTATCAACTAAGTTTATGCCATATTCTAAATTCCTTGTTGTCATTTCAACAATCTTTATAGTATCTTCACCAGATGTAGATTCTACCTCAAGAAATCATTTTCTTTGCTTGTACATAAAAAACAACTTGTTATCCATTAAAATTTAGACATGGGATTGTAACAATTCAGTCACATCTTCAGACTCCATTTCTAATTCTAGTTCTCTTGTTATTTCCTAAACACCTGCAGTTACTTCCTCCACTGAAGTCTTGACACTCTCATAGTCATTCATGAGAGCTGGAATTGACTTCTTCCAAAATCCAGTTAATGTTGATATTTGACTGTTCTCATGAATGATAAATGTTCTTAATGATATATAGAATGGTTAATCATTACTAGAAGATTTTCAATTTACTTTGCACATATCCACTAGAGAAATCATTATCTATGGCAGCTCTAGCTTTATGAAATGTATTTCTTAAATAATAAGACTCCAAAGTCAAAATTATTCCTTGAACCATGGAGTGTGGAATGGATGTTGTGTTAGAGGGCATTAAAACAACATTAATCTCTTTGTATATCTCTATCAGAGTTCTTGGATGACTAAGTTTGTCTTCAATAGGCAGTGATATTTTGAAAGGAAACTTATTTTCCGAACAGCAGATCTCAACGGTGTCCTCATAATATGTGTAAAGTATGTTATAAACAGATGTGCTATCTGTCATTCAGGCTTTGTTATTCCATTGATAGAGCACAAGCAGAGTAGATTTAGCATAAATCTTAAGGGCCCAGGATTTTTGAAATGGTAAATGAGCATTGGCTTAAACTTAAAGTCACCATCTGTGTTAGTTCCTAACAAGAGAGTCAGCCTGTCCTTTGAAGCTTTGAAATGAGCATTGTCATCTCCTCTCTAGCTATGAAAGTCCTAAATGGCATCTTCTTCCAATATAAGGCTGTTTCATCTACTGTGAAATTCTGTTCTTTAGTGCAGCCATCTTCATTAATTATCTTAGCTAGGTCTTCTGAATAACTTGATGCAGCTTCTACACCTGCACTTGCTGCTTCACCTTGTACTTTTATGTTCTGAGGGTGGCTTCTTTCCTTAAACCTCATGAACCAACCTCTGTTACCTTAAAATTTTTTTCTGCAACTTCCTCATCTTTTTCAGTCTTCACATAATTTAAGAGCATTAGGGCCATGCTCTGGACTAGGCTTTTGCTTAAGGGAATGTTGCGACTGGTTTGATCTTCTATCCAGACTGCTAAAACTTTCTCCATATCAGCAATAAGTCTGTTTCGCTTTCTTGTCATTCCTTTGTTAACTGGAATAGCACTTTTAATTTCCTTTGAGAATTTTTCCTTTGCATTCATAACTTAGCTGTTTGTCAAAAGAGGCCTAACTTTCAGCCTGTCTCAGCTTTCTATATGCCTTTCTCACTAATCTTAATCATTTCTAGCTTTTGAATTAAAGTGAGAAACATGCAAGTCTTCATTTCATTTGAACATTTAGTGGCTATTGTAGGGTTATTAATTGACCTAATTTCAATATTGTTGTATCTCAGGGAATAGGGAAGCTCAATGAGAGGGAGAGAGAAAGGGCAACAGCCAGTCAGTAGAGCAGTCAGTACACACACAACGTTTATCAATTAACTTCTCTGTCTTATATGGGTGTGGTTCATTGCACCCCCAAACTATTACAATAGTAAAATCTAAGGTCACTGATCACAGATCATCACAACAAATATAATAATAAGGAAAAAGTTTGAAATATTGTGAGAATTAACAACAAAGTGACACAATGTCAGAAAGTAAGCAAATGCTGTTTGAAAAATGACACCAATAGACAAGCTGGACATAGGATTTCCACAAACCTTTAATTTGTAAAAATGCAATGTCTGCAAAACACAGTAAAGTGAAGTGCAATAGAATAAGATATGGCTAAATGTTCTCAGTAACTGTAATAGTGACCTAGAGGGTAATGTCTATAGAATTTAGAGGCAGCTAAGAAAAGAGGCTCAGTTCATGTGCTATATAGTCAGAAGTTCATTTCTTTTCCTCATTCCAAAAAGAGATTGGTGGGTGTCTGCTTCAACATGCTATTAGTTTTAAACAAGCCTGAGCCTTGTCACTCACTGCAGGTGGGAGTCAGAGTAGAAGTCAGACAATGGGATAGGCAGTATTAGGGTTGGGGTGAAAGAATCGAGTGAGTTCAAGACTCACTTATTTGTCTCAAACAGAAAGTGAAATGGAGACAGTGGGCTGGATTTCATCACAGCTTTTCTTTGTTCCTTTGTTCCATTCTTCATAGCCCTTTAGAACCTATGCAGCCAATCTGATGTCTTTCTGTTTCCCAACAGTCTTGTCAAACTATGACCTTCTCTCAACTGGGCTATTGCAAAAGTCCTCTATATTATTTATTTTTTTCTACTTTTCTGATCCTTCGATATTCAAGATATCTTTTAAGTGCTCATCTGACTCTTCCAAAAGGCCCTCACTTTCTTCTCAGGCTTTCCTTGATTAGATATCTGCCTAATTCTCTAACATTATCTCATTTAATCCTCAAAACAATTCTGTAAAAAAAAAAAATCATCCTCTATTTTTTTCCCTTACCTGAAAAACCAGTGCTGAGATTCAATAGAAAAGCAGAGTCTTACTGATGTTTTTTCTATTAAACCTGATACTTTCCATGTTTACCCAACTGTTACTGTCTTACCCAAAGCATCATTTTTATCCTCAGAGAAAAATGGAATGTTCAACTGAATTTAACACATCCACTAAACATGTCAGTGTTTTTTAAATTTTATTTGTATTATGAACCTCAATAAAATAAACATCATGGCCTGATAAGAAACAGACACACATACACACAATTTAATAAACAAAAATTAACCTTTACTATATGTGAAAAAATAAAAGCAAGTTAATATCAGAGTTTCATTTTTATGTAAATAACATGTAAATAAGATGTAGAAAATAATTCTCAGAAAGCATATAAAAAATCAGCATAGCTTCTATTTAACAAAATAAGTATGTTGCCTTTTTCTAAATTTATTCTAGTCCAGAAAACTGATTTTAAAATACACGTTATTTTAAAGTCTCACATTTAAAAAAATATTTTAAAATATCAATCAATGTCAAATTTGCTAATTAAACTGACATTTCTTTTAATATTTAATACTTTTCCATATTTAATAATTTATCAGTATTTTAAAAACAATCTTCGACATGCTTCTGTGTTTTAAAGTTTAACCTTTTTTTTGAATGATAAGAAAACCCATTTTAACGGTAACATACAAATATAAATAAATCACTCACAGAGTCATAACACTTAATACCATCTCTTCTGAAAAACTCATTGAAAATACTTTTACAAACTTGGTTGAATGCCTGTACACATTTGCTTTAGAGAGAAAAAAAATCCTGCCCTTTGCTATATGATTAATCACGAATTCTGTTAAAAAATGTAATTTATCTGTGGAGCATTGGTGATGATCTTGACCATCTTACACAAGAAACTACAATGAGACACCCAGTAGAAAACAGCAAATGATGCCTTTGTGGCTATGTATCACATCCCCTCAAATAACTATCTTTTTTGTACCACTGATTAAAATATACTATGATATTTGTCACAATGTGTGTAGTTTCTCTTAGGTGTCTGGAATCCATACTCTGGTATATACCATTTTCTCCCTTTGTATTAATTGTTCTAATTATGACCCACTAGGTTTGAAAAACTCTACTTAAAAATATTTTGTGTGCCATAAGCCTCCAGCTAGAATTTTTTAAATTTTACATGTCCTTCCCTATTCTCTCTCTCCTCGGTATCCATTGTGGATAAAAATATTTATTCTTATAAAGGGCTAATGTCTTCATATATGGAAATTTTCAACCAACTTCAGAGTTATCCACCTTCTCAACCTATTCTGAACCTCTTGAGAATTTTTAACTAAATTAAAACTATAAAACTCCAGCTTTAATAACAATGTTACTATCTTGCAATGTAAATCTGATGTAAATTGATTATTAAAAATAGTTTATGTAATACTCACATATTAGAATTTAGAAAAGAACCATTTATCCACTTCCATTTCTTCTCTGGTAACGTAAAGTTTAATCCAATCCAAAATATAAGGCTCTTATCTGTCAGGTTACTGATGAATACCTGTAAATGGAACGGAAAAAACAAAAAGACTAAATATTAAATCTATTTATCTACTCATGCTTTATCTACTCATGCTTGAGTAGATAAATAGATTTGCATTCTTCTACTCTTCCTCTAAAACACAGTTCAATGATCTCCCCCTCTATGAAGCCTTTCCTAACTCCACCTGAGAGTTAGTTATTCCTTTTTTGTGATAATTCTTTCTCTGCATTTATATTTGTATTGTTAAATTCATCATGTCATAGTAAATCATTGCTTACGTGTTTGTTTAGTATCTCAAACTGTGAGCTTCTTGAAGTCAAAGTCACTACTTCCATCTGCATAGAACCTTTAGGCTAAAACCCAAAGATGTTGATATGGTTAGAAGAAAGTGTTATGTTCTATTCAAGTATTTTATTTAATTATTTACCAGTTCTTCTTGATTTTGAATAAGCAGCAAACTGGATTCTTGTGTGGAACAGTGAGCTAGACTGTCATTCCAAGGTTTGTGATTATTAGAAAAAAACAAGCATTTTTCTTGGAAAAGGTGCCAATGCATTGGGCACTTTAACAAACTTGGTCTCTCTAAGGTAAGAAAGAAAAAGAAATAAATGTTATATTACTAACCTGTCCTCACCCCACCACAACTAGTGACACACACATACAAGTCACTATAAATGCTTGGAAGTCTTTATCACCATAAGAACAATTCATGAATTTATTATAATTTTGAGTTTTTTGAGACCTACTCTTCATTCTGGTACCAACAATTAGAAATTAATGACCAGTTATATTGAGCATATGCGAAATCATAGGCTATCAGAATAGGAAAAGATCATCAAAATAATTTAAGCAGCCATTTCTTACATTTTTAGATGCCAACAGAATAACTTGGTTAAGTTCATACAGTGAAATGGTGGTAGAATCAAAACTATTTCTCAGTTTCTGTAAATTCACTACTCCCTGGACAAAAATATCAAACCTATCTCCAAATTTTTACTTCAAATAAATAAACTTCTAAGCAAACAATAATTTACTTCACTAAATTAATGATAGAAGCCATGAAGAAAATCATCATGAGAAAATTTCTATTTGCCAAGTGGTATATTTGTCTATTTAATGTAATCTATAAGATTTAGTAGATCCAATAGATCCAGTAGATTCCAGTTTCTTAAAATGTCCTATAAGAATGTGCACACAGGTCACATTCCTCTACAGTCATTCAACAATAGTTATTTTCATTAACACACACAGTTGAACCTTGAACAATAGGAGATTGAACATGGATCCACTTAAAAGCAGATTTTTTTTTCAATAAATACATACAGTACTGTAAATGCATTTTCTCTTCTATATGATATTTTTAATAATAGTTTCTTTTATCTAGATTACATAATTGTAAGAATACAGTGTACAGTACATATAATATGCAAAATATGTGTTAGTTGACTATTTATATTATTGGTAAGTCTACTGGTCAACAGTCGGCCATTAATCGTTAATTTTTGGGGAGTCAAAAGTTATTCATGGATTTTCAACTGTCCAAAGTAGTAAGCACCTCTAACCCCAACATTGTTTAAGAGTCAACTGTACTTACTAGAACAAGATTTTTTTCTTAGTGATGAATACAATCAATATTAAAAAATTCATTTATGTTTGAGTTCTATTAATTAACTTCATACCAAAGTTAACTATTTTGCATATTCATTGAAATCATCAACTATTTCAGTTAAAGGCAATATTCTACTTTTTAACTTCATATTTGGTTATTAATTATTGAATATTCTAACAGAAGCTTCTCATGAAGCAGTATGCTCTGGTAGTTAAGATTATAGGCTCTGAAGTCAGATCCTGCTAAGTACAATTCTTGGCGTCACCGCTTTCTACTTGTATGACCCTAAGTGAGTTGCTTAGCCTTTTCACGCCTGAGTTTTATCAAACATAAAATCAGGGTGATAATACTATCTTAACATATGAGCTGTTATGAGCCTTAAATAAAGTAGTGCATGATATCTACCAAATGTTAGTTGTTATTCTTGGGAAATTAAAGTCACAAATTTACCTGTTGTTTCATTTCTTTCCTCTTGAACATCCACATTGCTCTTTTCTGTTGATGATTTTTGTTTTAAGAATGTCACTAGTAAATAAGGAGAAACTGTTAAGAAGATTAAATACTGAAACACGTAGTGAAATAGATATGTTCTGTTTATCACTTCAGGAAAATAAGTTATCTCAATAAGCTTCACATCAACAGAAGATAAGAGCAATAGCAGAGTAACAAAGGGTCTAGTTAGAAGACAGCATACATAGACAAACAAACAAATAAGAAAACACATAACAAATAAACTCACAAAGGGGTTGGATTATCTGTTATCTACTAGATAAGTAAGGATATTACTTAAAGTTATAAATTGCTTAAATTCTTGCCCCAAATTTCTTATCTTTAGAGTGAGTTGTATTATTCATATCCCAAGGGAGAAATTGCCTCATGCAGTCTGAAATTTAGTAGGTATTTAAGAAACTGTAAATAATTGGAAATTTAAATTTTATTTGTTATTGTTATATTTTTATCATAATAGTGATTTTTTTTTAACTTCTTGAAACACTTATGAAATACTCCATGAAGACCATCAGAACAATTAGGAAGAAAAATGTGAAAGACTGTAGTCCTCAAAGTAGACATGGGCTGAGCATTGTTAGAAGCATGTTTTGTCATTTTTTTTCCCATTGGGCTTTCACTAAGTTTGGGGTGACTAAATTATGTTATGATATTCTAATATTAATGATAGAAGCAGAATAAGTAGAGCAATAAATAAACGATCTTGCTTCACTTACCTGAAACACTCAACCCGATTATAGCCAAGGCAAGAAGAATAATCCCAGTACAAGCAAGTTTCAGAGCAAATTGACGCCAAGTTGGCCTTTGACAGACATCTGAGAAATTAAAAAAAAAAACACACAACAACATTCCATCAACTCAGTTGAGCTCATCTATTTTAAAAGCAAAGGTGGTTTAGATCATATATGGACAGTTAAATTCCAGTTGGGAGATGGAGCAGCAAAGAATATTTATCAGCCATCTTAAAGTTGAGTCACAAGATGGGATCTCAGTCAGATCCAACTGAGAACTTGCTCATTGATAAAGTCGAAATATTTATGCTTGTTCTTGTGTGTGAAGGATTGGTATAAGAATCAAGAGAAGTAGATGTGACAATGTTTTGAAAATTGCCGAATGCTATAAAAAATAAAGCATATGCCCTATTGTAGGAAGTAAGTCAAAGAATTCTGTCTAAAAAGAATAGCCTTCATTCTAGACATCTTTAAAAATATAGATTTCATAGGGAAAAATTATAAAAGAAGAACTTATAAATTACAGAAAATTGGAAAAATTCAAAATTAAATCAGCTCTGATGGGAATTGTTCTCGTAATTCATACTTGAATTTCTCTACTTGAAGGTTAGCATCTACACCTCTGATTTAATTATAAAACCCTTTTGTTCTCATTTGGTTGATAACATATTACATATACTCTAGTTATCAATTGTTTTCTAAATTGTATTAGAGGCAAAGGTTTTGCAAGTAACGTTTTTCTAATTTATCTACTGCTATTGATTTATTTATGATACTGATTTTTTTATATTTTTCCAATATTTCTCAATATAAGTGATTTGTCAATTGTTAAAATATTTAGTATCAGGTACATTAAAGTGTTGTCTTTTATTCTCATTAAACGTTCCAGAGTGACCTGAAAGACTATTTCTATCTGAGGGATATCTCATCTGAGGGATATTGCATTTGCTGGTACAACTTCCTAAAAGTCTCTTCTTCCAGAGAGCATGCCTTCGTCCTGTAATTCTTTCAGGTCTTTACTTAAATAGCATCTTGTCAGGGAGGGCTTCTATGATTATTCTATTTGTTATGGTACCCTCTCCAAAAGCTAGATCCCAATTTCATCTTTTATTTTTCTCAATTGCACTTAATATCACCTAAACTTTTATAGGTACTTAGTTATTTGTTTACGTATGTCTCCACAGAGGTATACTACAAACTCAATTCAAGATGAGATTTTCCTCTAGTTTATTCACTGCTGTACTCTCAGCACCTAGAGCATGCCCAGCACATTGTAGGTGCTTATTTCTGAATAAATGAATAAACTCTAAGGTACCAACACCTTATCTACTTTTGTAAGAAAGCAAATCCTTTGCTGTAAATAAAATAGGTCACAACTCACATGTCTCTTTGGTTTTACTGACTGCCTTTGATATAATCACTGTTCTATGTCGTTACCACAACCTGAATAGTTTAGCCAAAGAGCTCAATAGTGTTTTCAATGATAATTGTAATACCAGATCAGTGTTTTATAGTCACACATTTTGTTCTGACTCTATTCTACTATTTTTTACATATTTACTTTCAAGATGATATTTTGTAAGATAATAACAATCAAACTAGACAAATTTCCTAGACCCATTGATTTGGGATCATGGATAGTAGCTTTTGTAGAAAATCTTACTGTCTTTCTCTGTATTCACTTTCTGACATCCTCTTTCAACACTATCATCCCTTCTCCCCACTTTTGCTAGATCTGAATAGGGAAAAAGAAAGTCTTGCTCTTATCTATCAAAAAATAACTGTGACTTGACCAAAGCTTGACTGTAGTTATCACAATCTTCCAATTTCCCTTAACATCCATATGAAAAGTAGAGTGAAATTTATTTGATAACCCTGACTTTTTCCCAATTTCGAAGGTTGATAATTTAATAGTTTCAAACCTATACCAAACCACCTTAAAAACGTATAATCCATATGCTTAGCATAATATAGAATGAATACCAGACTGGATAAAAATCACAATATTATTGACTAGCAAACTTGATTAGATTTCAAAAAGTAATACTATGTCATAATGATTTCAGCCTAGTATCTGGTCTTTTAAAAATCCATTCCTAGACTATGGCATTTATCACCTATTACCTCACATCACAGTTCTCCTTTCATTTGGAAGAGTAAATCCTCTAAAACACACAAAAATGCCAATTTCAACAAATTTCAAATAGGTTCATTAGTGATATTTTCCAGGATATTGTGGCTTGTCTCTTTCTAAGCTGTAATACTTTTCAAGTTAGAAACTAACAGATTATAATTATTCTCAACTCTTTAATCTTAAATACAATATCTTCCAGAAAATTTTTCACCTACCCTTTGGAGAAGGAAGAATGTTAATCATTAAGCCAACATTTTGTATTCTAAAAAAAAAAAAAAATACTTTGAATTCATATGTACTGGAACTTAATTACAATATTAGTATCTTGTAGGAAGATTTGGAATAAGGTAGGCTAGTCTTACAACAAAGTAACAATGTGTTTCTGAAATTCTTCAGGGTCTTTCAACAAAGCCTCAGTAATAGGAGTGATGTTCACTTTTCACACTGATATTTTGATAAAAAAGAAATCTCTGAGATATGTGTTCTTCTCTACAGTTAATAAGATTCATCCTCAAACCAACACTTTAAAGTCATACATTTAAGAGGAAAACCTAACTTTTTATAGTCACACATTTTGTTCTGACTCTATTCTACTAGATATACAGAAATATATCTATATCTAGATATACTAGATATAGAAAACAAGATATACAAATGTCAACAGGAAAATTAAAGCCACTTACCCTGAGGAAGAGATGGGGGTGATGAAGTTTCAAGGCCAGTATTCCCAGTTAATTTTAAATCAGCATATGTCACTTCTCTGTCCATTGTAAACAGGAGAATGTGGCATTAAACATTTATATAAGGAGATACTCCAAGTTCTATAAGGCAAGATCAGTAAAAGGAAGTGACCATTGTAAAATGCTTTGCTGTTTCTCTTGTATTGTTACCCACCCACACTTCTCGCTGTGGGTTTTCTTCATAAATTAGAGAGGCAATCTATTACTGGTTGTCCACTATACTTAGACATGTAATATTGTATATACATGGAGAGAGACATTATACACGCAAACGCATGCATAATATATAATATTAAAGCTAAATATTTCAAAGGGGGTAATGATTAAATAATTATAAGTGACATCTTATAATTAAATAATTATAAGTGACATCTTATAATTAAATAATTATAAGATGTGGCAATAGTAGCAATAATATTGAGTAACTCAAGGAAAAATAAAAATAGATTTTTTTTATTACTTTGTCTCTTGTTTTGACATTAAATTTTGCTAGGTTAATAGTGGGAGTTGGGATGGACAAGAAAATAGAGTAAAATAAAAACAAAGTTATTTTTGAATGTGAAAAAGTGTAATATGCTAGAAGATAGCTATGGCATGGAGAAAGGGGTGATAAGAGAGTGATGAGAATCATTTTGTGAAAGAAGGTGAGAACACGAGAAAATCTACTCTAGATTTAAAATAGAAAAGAAAATGATGACTTCAGTGAGATGGCAGACTAGGAATCTACAAGCCATTTTTCTTTCAACAGAGATATTGAGATGACAACAATATATGAACCAGAATACCTCTGTGAAGGCTCTAGAGACCAATTGATTAGCTATGGCACCAAGGCCATTGTAAAACCAAGAGGGCATTCTAACGAAAGGGGTAGGGTAATTCCCAGCACTTGGTGCACCCATTAGTGCCCCTCCCCTTCCATGGCATAGTACGGACACACCAAGAGGAACGCTCATGTAGTGGGGATCCTTCAAGATGGAAGCAAAAAGAATAGTTCAACATTCTGGATTGTCTGGAGCTACTGAAGAAACAGTTCTCTGTCTTGCTTGACTGAGTATGTATGGTATCAGCGCAAGTTTGGATGACACTGAAAACTAAGGCAAGCAGCATGTAAAGCCGTGGGGCAAGAGATAAAAATGGTTTGAGATGTCCTATGAGCTTCAGCTAGGCTGATTTGTGAGGGCACTACCCTTCAGAAAAACAGTGCACCAACACTTTGAGCAGTGGTTGTTTCTTCAAATGTTAAAATAACCCCCTCAAAAATAAATAAATAATACAAAGTATACAAAGAAACAGAGAAACATGGCCCAATCAAAGAAACAAAATAAAACTTCAGAAATTGATTCTAAAGAAGTTCAGATCTATGAGCTGCCTGAAAAAGAATTTAAAATAATGGTTATAACAATGTATGGTGATGGATGATAATCAGACTTATTGTGATGATCATTTCACAATGTATACAAATATCGAATCATTACGTTGTATACCTATAACTAATATAATGTTATATGTCAATTATACCTTAATAAAAAATAAAATAACTTAAAAGATGCTTAATGAGCTAAATGAAAATACAGAAAGACAATTTAGCAAAAAGAATACTATAAAATATTGTACAATATATTGGATAGCCCAAGAAAAATGGATAAATTCCTAGAAACACAACAAAATGAATCACAAAGAAACAGAAAATGTAAACGGATCAACGGCGAGTAAGATTTAAACCATATTTAAAAACTTCAAAAAAGCCCAAGACCAGAGGTATTCACTGGAGAATTCTCCCTAACATTTAAAGAAAAATTAACAGCAATTCTCACTAAAATCTCCCACAAAACTAAAGAGGACAAAACACTTCCAAGCTCATTTTATGAGGCTGAAGCCAGACAAAGCAACTAAAAGAAAACTATAGATTAATATTCCTAATAAATATTGGTGTAAAAATTTTAAACAAACTACTAAGAAACTAAATTTAACAGTGTATTAAATGACCAAGTGGGTTTATTTCTGGAATAAAGGGACAGTTTAACATAAGAAAATCAATAAATGTACTATACCATACTAGGAAGGATAAAAAACATGATAATCTCAATTGGTGGAGAAATATTTCACAACATTTAATACCCTTTCATGATAAAAACACTCAACAAACTAGAAATAAAAGAAAATTACCTGAACATAATAAAAGCCATTTATGAAAAGCCCACAGCTAACAGGATATTCAATGGTGAGAGACTGAAATCCTTTTTCCTAAGATCTAGAAAAAGACAAAGATGCCTGCTCTTACCACTTATATTTAACATAGTGTTTGAAGTCTTAGCCAGAGCAATTAGACAAGAGAAAGAAATTAAAGGCATTCAAATTGGGAAAAAAGAAAAGTGTCTATATTGAGAGAAGACATGATCTTAGATATAGAAAACCCTAAAGATTTCACACACACAACACACAATAACACACACAAACTGTTAGAACTAATAAATGCATTCTGCTAAATTGCAGGACATGAAATCAACACATAGAAATCAGTTGTATTTGTATACATTAATAATAAACTATCTTGAAAAGAAATAAAGAAAATAATTCTTTTTCTTTGCAATCTACAAATTGAAAACTACTTTTATCAAAATTCCAATGGTATATTTTTCAGATATTAAAAAAAAAAGTCATCCTAAAATTCACATGGACTCTCTAGGGACCTTAAACAGACAAAACAATTTTTATAAAGAAGAACAAAGTTAGAAGACTCAGAATTCCTGATTTCAAAATATATTATAAACCTACAGTAATCAAAATAGTGTGGTACTGGTGTAAACACAGAAAAATAGACCAGTAAAATAGAATAGAAAGCCCAGAGATAAACTCCCATATATATGGCCATATGATCTTCAACAGGGGTACCAATACTACTCAATGAGGGAAAAGACAGTCTTTTTAACAAATGATGTTGGGAAAACTAGGTGTCTACATCTGAAAGAATGAAGTTGGGCCCTTATCTTACACTACTGTATATAAAATTTAATTCAAAATGGATTAAAGACCTAAATATAAGACCTAAAACTACAAAACTCCTAGAAGAAAATATTAAAAAAAAGCTTCATGACATTGGACTTGAAAGTAATTTATCTTATATAATACCAAAATATAGGCAACAAAAGCAAAAATAAACGATGGGAGTACAGCAAACTGAAAAAACTTTTGTGTGTTAAAGGACACAATAAGCAGAATGAAAAGTCAATCTACGGAATGGGAGAAAATATTTGCAAATCATATAGCTGATAACAGGTTAATATCCAGAATATAAAAAGAATTTTTATAACTCATCAACAACAACAACAAAAAAATCAAAGAACGTAGTTTTACAATGAGTAAAGGACTTGAACAAGCATTTTTCTAAAGATGCTATACAAATGGCCAACAAGCATATGAAAAGTTGATCAACATCACTAATCCTCTGAAATATGCAAGCCAAAACCACAAAGAGATAGCACCTCACCCTGGTAGGATGGTTAATATAAAAAAACACACCCACACAAAGTAACATGTTGGCAAGGATGTAGAGAAAGTGGAACCTTTGTGTACCATTGACATAATTGTAACATGGTGTAACTAGTATGAAAAACAATACAGGCATGCTTTGTTTTATTGAGCCTCGCTTTATTGCACTTTACAGATGTTGCATTTTTTACAAATTGAAAGTCAGACTCTCCACTAGCAAAAAGATTATGACTTGCTGAAAGCTCAGATGATGGTTCACATTTTTGGCAAAAAAGTATTTTTAATTAAGGTATGAACGTTGTTTTTTAGACATAATACTATTTCACACTTGCTAGACAACAACATAATGTAAAAATAACTTTTATTTGTACTGGGAAACGAAAAAATTTGTGCAACTCAGTTTATTGCGACATTTGCTTTATTGCAGTGGTCTAGAGAGAAACCTACAATTTCTCTGAGTTATATATAACTTTATAAAGTTTCCTCAAAATTTAAAACTAGAACTACCATCTGGATATGTATTTAAAAGAAGTGAAAGCAGATTTTTGAAGATATATTTGCATACCCATGTTCCTAGCAGCACTATTCACAATAGCGAAGAGTTGAAAAAATTCAAATATCTACTGACAGAAGAATGGATAAACAAAATGTAATATACACATACAATGAAATATTTCGACTTTAAAAAGGAAAGAAATCTTGCCACATATTACAACATAGATGAACCTTGAAGATATTACGTTAAGTGAAATAAGCCAGTTGCAAAACGACAAATAGTGTATTATTTTACTTTTATGCGGTATCTAAAATAGTAAAATTTATAGGAACAAAAAGTAGACTACTGATTAACAGTGCCTGGGGGAGGGCATAAAGGGAGTAGTATAATGAATGTAGAGTTTCAGATATGCAAAATAGTCTGGAGATGTGTTTTACAAAGATGTGAGTATAGTTTACCATATTGAACTGCACACTTAAAAATTGTTAAAAAGATAAATACCATGTTATGTGTTTTTACCACAATAGAAAAAAGAAAAAAATACAAAAGTAAAGTTATATAACTGGAGAGAAACTAGTGTTCAGTAATGACAAATAAGAGAAGGGAGGGTACAATATCTGGAAATATTAAAAAAGGAAGGACAGTGTTTTCAATGAAATATCTTCTGAAAATGATCAATTGTTGGTGGAATGCAGTGGGATGATGGAGACAGGCCATGGACTAAAAGCTTTTAAGGATGAATGAGTGTGCAGCAGCTTCACTCCACTTACCTATCTCATTTAGAATTAACACACAAACCTGTGGCATCATTAACTAGAATATTCACATATGAAATTATAAATAAAATAATTCTTTCTAAATTTAAACAATTAAGAATGTAGATATTTTAAAAATATTATTTAAATAATATTTAAAATATAAGAGGGTTGTTGTGGTTTCAGACAAGTAAAATAAATCAATTCTAACCACTGAAGAACTCATCATTTGGCTATGGCTTCACTTTCTCACTCATTGGCATTCAGCTGTACTGCTTCAGCATCATTTTTTGTTTTGTTT